TTTCAAATCAAAAATAAGTAAAAAAGATTTACAGTCAATTATTTATATAATATAATAAAATAATATAATAAAATAAAATCTAATCAATCATTTTATTAATATATAAATAAATAATGAAAATGATATTTATAAATTTATATTTATTATTTATTTTATTATTTATTTTATTATTTATTTTGTACAATAATTTCTATAAAGAATTTTATTTTAGTTCTATAAAATATCTATATAATATTTCCTCTTTGGTTTTATAAAATATGTCTATAATTTCAGAATTATAAAATATACCTTTGAAACTGCAGGCGATGTCATCTTGATAATTGATTTTAATTCAATAATAACGATTATAAAACCATCATGTCATATTAAAATCTTCATATAAAACAAATATGTATAATGCAAGTTATTTACTGTTAATTAATAACTTTTAATAAAGATTATATTATATTTATGTAAATATACACGTTTTGATAAGTTAACAACTTTTTTAAACCGATATTCTTATATAAATAAAAGTACCAAAATTTGTCACATTAAACAAAAAAGTAAGGTAAGTACATAGCATAATTTAATACAGATAGAATTTACTCAAATATTACAAAATATAACAATTGCTAGATATCAGAATAAAATATCATTGACATTAGAAAATAGCAACGATGAACGAAAATGATGTTCCATTGAACAAAGAAATGACAGAGTTATTTTATATTCGCGTTGTTCTTATTTGTTCTAAATTAATAAAAATGATGAACTTAGACTATATATATTTATAGATACGACTGCAAATAATTCTAAATCTTGAAGCAAAGATAAAATCATTTTCATGATATTACATATGAACAAAAAAAAATTATGGAAATTTTTATTTTTAAAGCAATATATAAATATTTATAAAATATAATTTAATCATTGTTAAATTTGAAATATACATATTTTTTTATTTTATTATCTATTTTTATTTTATTTTTAATTTTAAATAGTAATTCTTGTAAATTATAATTTCGAACGAATTCAATTTTAATTAATAATATTCAATATTTTATAAATTATCTATAAATAATTATTTTCTTATAATTTATTAGTTGAAAAAAATAGCAAAAACAATAAACAGATATTCAGAGAAAAATAAATTAGTTAAAAATAAAAAAATAATTTTCGTTTATTTTATTTGTATTATATCTTCTTTTATTCTGTTAAAAAATTATTTTGATAAAAAAATATTCTATTAATAAATTATTTTTTTTTATAATATAATCTTAATTACAAATTAATAACATGCTGCATCATTATTAATAATTAAAAAATTATTCACAGATGAATATGTAATTTGTAACTACATATAGTTTATCAGACAAGGTTTTAAATTTTCAATGTATGATTTTTTTTTTATTTTTATTTCAATTTGAATTCTTATATATGGATTCATATATTCCTATATATATAATTATAAATATAATTATAAATATAATTATAAGTATATATATTCTAAACTATCTTAAAGTTATAAGAAATATAATTATACAGTGCAGCCAACAAAACGCGGGAAATATATAATAAAACTTGATATATTTTTGTTGTCAAGAATTGACATATTTTTGATGTAAATTTGACACAAATTTTTATACAAATTTAGTATCAATTTATTAACATAATTTGATGAAAAAATTTTGTAATCTTGTAATAAATTTTAATAATATTTTGATAATCAAGATTTGTGACAAAAATAGACAAAAATAAGTTTGCAAAAAGCTGATAAAATATATTTTTTCGCACTTATTATTAAGTATAAAATTTTAAAATATTATAATTTAATGTAATTAAATTAATGTTGTTCTTATAATTTGTGTTAATATATTCTATAGTAATAAAAAATATATAAATGTACTTAAAATGTTATTATTAAAATAATATGTGATTTACAAATATTTAATTAAACAATGTAAAATGTTTAAGAACGAGATATTAAATTTATATAATTATTTTTTTTTATCAAATTAATTTTTATGTATTAAAACTTATTGAAATAAAAATTATTTATTTTTTTATTTCAATATATATAAAGAATTTCTTATTGAATATTGAATATTGAATAATATGTAATATATACTATATATTTAATATATATATGTATATATATATATATCAGCCTTAAGTTTAATCTAGTAACAATTCAAATATAAAATGAAACTTTTGTAATAATATATAATTTTTTAAACATAACAATATTTCTTAAAAATTACATGTGATAAATATATGCTATATAAATAATATTACAAAATTATTAATGAAAATATTTGTTTAAAATATTATTAAACATTTCATATATTCTGTATTTCTGTTTTCTATTTTATTATAATTAATATTTCTATCATTAATCTAATTTTGAAAATCAAAAATAAAATGTTTATATTTTGTACATGTTTGCATATATTTATTGGGGACATTAAAGATGTAACTTAAATGTTGATCGGTCAGCCATCTGCTGATGTTGCAGCCAAAGCCACGTCATATTTTGTATGCTTTGTGACTTAGGAGTGTGGAGTATTTCTCGATCCTCTTATAAAATTTACTTTTAAACATCCGAAAATATGAATATATTTCGACTCTTAGGTGACTTATCACATCTTCTTGCAATTATTATTCTTCTTCTCAAAATATGGAAGACACGAAGCTGTGCCGGTATATATCATTGATATAACTTATGTGTTTATTATATCTAAAATTGTTTGTATTTTATTAAAATAATCATCAATTATTAATAGCATATTTTTAATAATATTCTTTATATATTTTATAGGTATTAGTGGCAAATCGCAAATTTTATTTGCAATTGTATATACAACGCGTTATCTAGATTTGTTAACAACATATATATCAGCATACAATACATTTATGAAAATCATTTTTATTGCAACTTCCTATACTACAGTTTTTTTAATGTATGTGAAATTCAAAGCTACATATGATCATAATCATGATACTTTTAGGTATGTTCTTTTTATATAATGCATGTATTTATTAAGTAATATATAGTAATGTATTTGAATAATGTATATGTATATATAACTTTTAAAAAATTTGTTTAAAAAATCTAGTCATATTTCATTTCATCATTTAATAATATCTTAATCATTTTCAGAATTGAATTTTTAATTCTACCCACATCACTGTTGGCATTATTAATTAATCATGAGTTCACAATTATAGAGATTCTATGGACATTTAGTATTTATTTGGAATCTGTAGCAATATTGCCACAATTATTTTTGGTATCAAAAACAGGAGAAGCTGAAAGCATTACCAGTCATTATCTTTTCGCTTTGGGATGTTATAGAGGCTTATATCTATTAAACTGGGTGTATCGTTACTATGCAGAAAATTATTATGAACTAATTGCTATAGTTGCTGGTTTAGTGCAAACAATTCTTTATTGTGACTTTTTCTACCTCTATATTACCAAAGTATTGAAAGGCAAAAAATTACAACTACCTGCTTAGTTGTATAAAAATATTATCATGAAGAATTCTATATTGCTCAAACGAGCAATATCATCATTAATTAAATTTATATAATATAAATTTTGGCAATCTTTAAGAAATCGAGGAATGCTCGTGTACAAAGTATACATTTTATTAATTGTAAAGCATTCCATTTTGTTGTATTTTCATCACAAAACATCCATGTATAATTTTTCATCTTTATCCTATATAGTTACATTTATATTTTAAACTGTTACTTTCTCATTGATTTTTCAGCATATTGCATCTTTAAATAATATATAATGTATGTGTGATACTTATTTCATTTCAATGATGAATAACATATTAAAATACAAAGTACATAATTGGAAATGAAGATTATCATTTCAAAATTTGTTACATGTCCTAGGAATTAGAAATTATAATTATACTAATAATATATTTTCAATTTTTAATATATTAATTTTATTCAAATGATCATATTAGTTGGTTAACAACGCAGACTTATATACTTTACTAAATCGGTTACATGTATTGCTTCACTTAGAGTTGTTGCTCTATCTTTTATATATATAATGCCATTTTCAAGACTAGTCGTATTAACAGAAATTATAAAAGGTACCAAGCATGTATCTATAATTTTTTCTGAACTGGTTAATATTGTATTCAGGCCTTTTGTCCTTAAGATGTTATTTAAGTAAAGTACAAAGCGATTTAAATCATCATTTTGAATGTTCTCTTTATCATTTGATTTTTTTATATGAAATGCAACTTTGTGTGGTGCTAATTTGGAATGAAGATGCATTGTAGTCGAGTTATTCATATCACATATGTCACAAAGTAGTGCTAAACATCCCCAATCTAAAGACATTCTTTGTTCAACCATTTGTATGTTGATAAAATCTTTTTTACTATTAACCTAAAAATAAAATGGTCCATAAAAATAATTGTTATTTTTAAACTTGTTAAATTTATAAAAGTTAAAACAAAGTTTTTTAAAGAAACAAAATACCTGAGAGAATAGTTTTTGAACATCTGTATGGTAAGTTATTCTTTCCAATATAAGATTGCCAAATGAAAATTGTGCTTCAATATCAACTGTAGTATAATTTTTTATTTTTTTTGCTTCAGAGAGTTTAAATCTAGAAGGATTTTGTGCTAATTTTCGCCACCAAATTTTACGTTCTTTTTGTATTTTATAAAATAAATCTTTTATTTCTACATCATTATTAAAAATAACTATTTCTGCAGTTCTATGATAATTTAATTTTTGTACAGTTAATGTATTAGAATCCCATTGATATTTTGAATTTTTTATTGTAGCTAATCCAAATGGTATATCACTCATTTCAGTTCTTATAATAAAGTCTGTAGTATCATTAAATTCATCTGATAGAAACATATTATAACGTGACATTGTAATACAATGTAAAAACCATTGTTCTTCAAGGTTTTTCAATAACATTTTACCTTGAGGTCCATATTTAAGTCCTTGTGTTGTAAAGTTAATAAAATATGGACTTAATTCTTTTAATATATTTGCTATATTCATTGTGTTTTTGAAATAATTTGCAATGGTGTTATAAAATATTCTTCTTCTAAAATAGCAGCATTCTTTAAAATTTCTTGTTTAGATATATTATTTTCTATATTATCATTTCGTAAAAGAATTGATTTTTCTTCAAGTGGACTGTACATAGGTTTGATTTTATTATCAATCTTTGTATTGCGTAAATTTTCTGTAAAAATAATTGCAGCTTTTAAAACAGAAATGCTATAATCTTTATCAAGATTGAGTAAAGATAATTGTTCTATTTTCTTTATTGTTTCTTGTGTTACAATTGACATTGTTGAATTTGAATGTACATATTTTATATGAAAAGAGACTGAATTTAAAAATGTTGGTAAAATTATATAACTCAGTTTTTGAGTATGTCGAATAATTTCCATTTAAATAATGTTATTTATGATTAATATGGTTAAAATTATTATTTAATTAAACAATTAAATTCTTTTCAAGTAGTTATTTTATGATATAAATATTTTATCACTTTTATAATTAATATCACTTTATAATTAATAGAATTTCACAATTGTTTTTAACAATAACTAACTTTCATATCTCATTTTCAGAAAATTTAAGATGTATTTTATGGTTATGTAATATACGATATATATATATATATATATATATATATTTAAGAATACGTGAAAAACAGCACAATGAAATATATAGTGACATCTCATGTTCATTATTAGAATTTTCGTTAGTCATAGAAATTTTGAAAAATAATACTAGATAAATAATTGATTGAAATATATATGTATATATGTAAGTACTTAAGTATATACATATATTTTATTCTAGAAGTTAAATTATATATATTAGTATCAATTTGTTTGAAAATTTTATTGAAATATTATTGATAGAGCAAATTTCTATAAAAAAAAAATATATATATATACGTATGTTTATTTTTTTTTCTTTTAATTTGTAAATTATTAGGTTATGCCACTTATGTGAAAAAAATTATAAATAAAATAAAATAAAAGTTGCACTTACATATTATTATTGATTTAGTACAATATAAAATTATAATATTAATAATAAATGGAATTAAAAAATTATATGTATTAATGAAATTATAAATGAAATATAAGATAGATGTAAACCAATAATATCCATCTGTGATAATAGTAAAACTAGTAATATGCATATACGATCTTTTAAAGTTCAAGTTAGAACCAAATATATATATTTATTATAAATTCTTTTTGTTATATAACTATATTTTTAGAAACAAATCTTAAAGTGTTAACTAACAAATATTTCGTAAAATATTTTTTAAAATTGTTAAAGGAAATTTATTTAGTTATTTTTTAATTTTTATACATTTTTTCTAAATTATAAATATACACTATTAGTATTTAAATTAATTAGTATTTAAATAGAAATAGAATTTTATTTTTAATTTAAAATTCTTATATATATTATATTCTATATAATATATATTTAATTTTTTATTATAATATTATATTATATTTTTAAAAATATATATACATATTTATACATGTGAAATTTTTATCTTTTTATTACATTTATCTTTTGATATATTTACAATTTTTATAAAAGATGTAGTTTTAAAATAGAGATTATTTTGTATTACTTTTTTCTTTTGATACATTGTTTGAAATTATTATTTTTAAGAATATAATTTTTTTTATATTTATTCAAAAATTTAAGCTTTATAAATTATTTTTTTTTTATTTTAATATAAAAGATAATTATTGTTATATTATTATTACATATATATTATAAATTTGTATTTTTAATATTATTATTAAAAACAATTTTTTATTTTGTATTTTTTGTTATATAGTGTAAAAAATTTATAAGAGTAATACTATATTTCTCGAAATTTAAAATTTAATATCATATAAGTTTGATTTTATGAATTTATCAATTTAATATGATTACTACATAAATATCATAAAAAATATATTATACAAGACAATTACAAATTTCAAGAAATAATATGATATTTTATAAATCTTTATAATGTCTTTTTAAAAAGTAAATTAAAATAAAAGAAAGATATAACTGTAATTTTCACATAAATTAAATCAATTAAATTATTTATAGAATGATATATACATAACAAAAAATGCACTGATATTAATGTTATGTCATGCACTAAAAAACGAAATATAGACTATGTTAAAATAAAACAAGATATTCAATAATTTCAATTAATCTTTCATTACAATTGGATTCTAATATATTCGCATATAATAATGTAAAAATATCGTATAATATATAATATATATAATTGTTTAATATATAAAAAAGGTCTTCGAACTCATGAAGGGTTGATAATTTAGCTTCTTATTTTTTATAAATAAAATATTAAACTATATATATAGATATAGATATAGATAATATATATACATATATTATATAGAAAGTTATAACAAAACATTTTCAACATTATAAAATGATATAGCAACTGTATATTTATAATATATATATTTACATTTTTAATCGTAAATATAAGACAAACAGAGTACTTTTAATTATTTATTTACAATTATAACATAGTATTTAGATTGAATATTAGTAAAATCCATATAATATAAGAAATAATAATATGTATGTATCAAACACAAATAATTATTTTCGTCTATAATTAAAATTAAATAATTAAATGTAAATATTTAAAATCAAAATTGAAGGTGATGAATAATATTGTTACTTACTTTATTTTTTCTGTAATATTTTTGAAATTATATGTTGAGGAATGTTGTAAAATTGTTCAATTTGATAAGTGCAATATTCTGATATTTTAATGTGTACTATACTTTGAAATTTCTTTTTTAAATATCAAAAAAAAAATGCAATGATTTAAATCTTTCATGTTTTAATATGATATTCTTTCATATTTTCATTGTATGTTATAAAATATAATTCAAATTAATTAATCAAATGATACTTAAGGAAACACTTTAAGTTATATTAGTATACTATTTATAAAAAATAAATATTCTATTTTTAAAATATATTTATATATTTTTAAAATTTATAATTTAAATGAAATAAACATTTAATTGTAAAAATGAAATTAGTTTCATTTTGAAATTTTGTATTTATAAAAAAATTAATATCATTGTTTTACATAGTTATTACAATTGTCTCTTATTTATATATATTGTCTTAATAATACGTAAATTTTACTTTATAAATGTATTATTTAATTTGACGAAAATCAAATAAAGAAACAAAAAAAAAAAAATAAATATTTTAATTCAGAATCTTATAATTCTTTCTTCGATATACGAATTTTATATTAAGTATATTTAATATATACATATATATATATATATTTTTATATATATTTATTTATTAGAATTATATAATACACATTAAAATAGTTAAATTTTAAGAATAATTTAATGATTATCTCTTATCTTATCTATCTTCAAATCTATGTTATCTTCAAATACTTCTTATAAAAATAAAGCGTATTTCTTTTTTATTTAAATTTTCAATACATCGATATAAAATCAATAGATCGATATAAAAATTTTAATTCAATACTTCCGATTTGCAACACATTTCAATTTGATAATGAGTGGCATCGATGATCTCGAGAAACTGTTCCTTTATTTCTTTAGCTTTCACGTAAACATCCTCTTTCATTAAGTCATAACACATAGCGATAAGTCCCATACCGAGTAACAAATAAACAAAATTAATTATCAATTTGGTTTGACTATCAGCTGTTAAATCACCGTGCGTCCAACCAGGTACAAGATCGCCCATCCCAATTTTGCATAGCGATGTCACGCAGAAATAAGCGCTGTCTAAATAATTCCATCCTTCCCACTCGGCGAACATTATCGAACCGCTCAACACGTATCCGAATATCACCCAAAGGCAGGCTGTCGAAGGTACCGTGATCCTTTGGCCAGGTTTTCGTTTACCGGTGCATTCGTGCAACCACGTGTACAACGAACGAAACGTCTGCGCGAGTACTTTTCCCATGTTAAGAAAATACAAAACGTAAAGTGGGATTCCCAATACGGCGTAAATAACGGTGACTACCTTTCCCCAGGTCGTTTGAGGCACCAGTGTTCCATAACCGATCATCGTGAATACGGAAAGACAAAACATCATCGCAGCTGGAAAGGACCAGAGATCGGACGAGGTTAACCCGCTACAATTCTCCTTCTTATAATCACCGGTGAAATTGTCTTGATACCGGCGTAGAATTCGATTTGACACCGTGTGAAACGCCGTTTTATTGAACACGTTTATGGTTTGATTGCCGGCAGTGCCAAGCCATAACTCTTCGGCGAACTGTTTTCTTATTAATTCGCGGATGCAAACTGTGGACGGCGGCGAAATCTGACCTTGAGATTCGATCATCATAAAACCGAAAGCACCTATTATAGCGTAACCAACCACGAGTCCACCAACGCCAACCTGAGTGCACATAAACGCGACCAATTTTCGGCAACAATCCTTTATGCGCTCTCTCAGATCCGGATCGGTCAATGTCGAATTCGAATCTCGGCTTTTCAACGAGGATCTTATCGGGACCCGCGTCATTTTATTTATGCATATAACGGAATACGAATAAAGCGAGGGATACAGGAAACTGGGGTAGCGGCACGTTGGCTAACACTAAATGATTTTCGTCCCGCTTTTCTATTTTCGTACGAACGCGCTGCGTTCATTTTACACTCTGTCCTTCTCTGTTTCACTTTCTTGCTTTTAGTATTTACATATACACATGCTTGCGCGAATCGGAGATATTTCGAACTTCCTTCGATAAAATGGTAAGTATTCAATCATATATTTATTTTACATAAATTCTTGAGAAATAACGATAAATAAAATGAATAAGAATCAATTAGAAAAATTTTTGTTTAATAATGATGATTATTCTCATATGCATATATACATATAATTGAATAATAAAATGTACTGTGTAAACATGAAATTTGCTTGTAATTTCATTTGTTGTATAGAAAATACTTATTCGTATAAAATTTAAGTAGTATTATCCATTCATTAAATCGACACAAATTATAATATAATATTCTAGATATATGAATTCTATAAATTATAAAATAATTTTTTAATATATGTTATATGTATAAAATGGCAATATATAATTTTGAAATTAAATTTTGTTGTCTATTTTTATTTGAAATTATAGATATTTATATAATTGTTTGCTATATTATAATTATTTGATAAACTATATAATATCCCTTCAATTGTGTTTAAGAAATAATTATAAATATTCTGTTGAAGCAAGCAATAATAAAACATTGTTTTAATGTAATCCCCTTTTAAAGAAAAATAAAAATTTATTAAGTTTTGAATATCTAATAAAATATAATATAGTTCATTCTATTACATTATTAATATGACATATATTAATATACATTTTTCTATAATAAAATTACTTTTTTAACATTTTGTTTAAATGAATATTCTTATATGATATAATCTTCAGCATTGCTTGAAGTTTATAATTTATTTTATAAAAATATATACGTAAATATCAATCATTCGTTTGATTGTGATAGTGAATAAAAAACATTTATAATTTTATATTTTTTATCGTTAGAAATATTCTTTAAGAAGAAAATGAATATTTTTGACATCTT